CGAAATTTAAGAATATTTTATTATTATCTTTGATAGCTCTTTTTTTTATGAAAAAGATAGAAACGCATACAATTCGATTGGAAAGAAGAATAAAAGAGAGAAAGCACTTTACTCTCACTCCGGTTTATAAAAAATAATCAGCTAGTCTTTTTCTTGATTAAAAAAAGAACATGCACATACAGGGAACAATCAAGAAAAAAAAAGGTATATCCGACACATATGAAAGTATATACAAATAATACATAAGACTTCGACGAATAGATTCGATTTTCATATCGAATAATTTCGATTTCTTTTAATTTCCTGAGCTAGATGATGATGATGATGTTCTTGATAGAACCGGAGCTTGTATTTCCAAAATATTTGCTGTTATTTCGCCAATATTATTATTATCTGTAGATTTCATTGTTGAAATAAATTCATTTAGTTGAGTTTGATCTATATTTAAAATCGGTGATGAATTAATTGAATTCGAATCTAATGAATGTTGTTGTTGTTGTTGTTCAGGTTGAAGAAAATTAAAACAAAGTATTGTATCATCATGTGAACTTGATATTATTTGAAATTCATCAAATTGTAAACGAAATACACGTCCTGTATGTTCAGTTAAAGTTTTCAAACAAAGTAATGATGTTTGAGAACGTGGATCGAGTGCTGCTTGAAGATCCCAAATTTTAATTTTACCTATTTTAAAATATAAACAATAAGAACTTAATTGAATTCATTTGAAATTAATTCATAACATACCATCATAAGCACCTGAAATAATACGTTTGGAATCAAAACGAATGCATCGAACTAATTCTTCATGTCCTTCAAGTATACGAAGACAAGCACCACATTCAACATCCCAAATCTAGAAAACATATTTCGTTATGCTTTTATAGAAAAAAAATTAGTAAAAAATTTTTAAATAAGTTCTTTTCTCCTTATGGAAAAAAAATCGCCAAATTAATAATTACAATACTGCTGATTTATTCTTTACATATTTTTAACGAAAATTCATCTACAGATGTTGATGATAAACCAAATGACAAAGTAATTGAATACAGAGAGAAAAAAATAAATTATCAGAAAAGGTGAACATGTATAATCGTGATAGAAAACCCTTGAATATATATATATCCACAATTATCATTTTTAGCACGAACACTACGTTACAGTTCAATATCATCAGCAAAAATTAAAGTTTGAAAATCGTACTGTAACTATGAAAATATCTGTTGGGCATCGATTAGCTTCGGTTGCAGAAAATCGCACACAAATCTGAAGATTCCTGACTTTTAGATTTTTCTCTTGGTTTTATAGACTTTCGTCACTTTCAGTTTTGATGACAATTTGAATCAATAAGAAGACAAAAAAAAGCTATCAAATAATAATCAAACTCTTTGTCAAGACCTTGTGCAAAGTTAGATGAAAAGAAAAAATTCATTCTGTATTTGTCGAATAGTTTCTTTGCAAGAATATAACTCTCTAATTAAGTGCCAACGTCATTAGAGTACAATCTTTCATCACAATCTTCACAATAACTAGTAAAAATTGCCGATTTTACTTCATTAAAAAGTCAATTAAAATTGATAACTGCTTTCTCAGCAACTAACATACTCGTTAAAGGTTACTTTTCAAATTGTATATTCTATTTGTAATGTACAATTTTCCATTCGTGAGTGACAGTCTTATTGGTGTAGAAATAATAATTAGAATAAATATTCATTACAATTGTATCGAACTTAAAAAATATATTTTTAATGATTGAGATCTATTTAAACAAAATTGCTCATGAGAAAAAATATAGTTATGTTGTTTGTGTTCAAATTGATTTTCACTTAAAATTTACTTTATATTATTTCGTCGCTAAAAATTAATGAATGACTGTGAGAGTACTAAGAGCATAACACACACATGATTATCTTTCGTTTTTCTTATATATCATTTAGAGGAAAATTTTTTCCGTGTTTCAATCAGGCAATTGAATATAACAAGCACTTAAGTGTTAAACTTCTGATCTTTTTCAAAAAAACTTAATTTTTGACATTTAAAATTTGCAATCATAACAAAGATAATTTATCGTAAAACTACTCAAACCCTGATAGCAATCAAACTAGAACGACCTCAATTTCCCCATCCTTCACTTTCATCGATATTACTAACATTTTATATCTCTTCTTTTGTTTCAATATATAAAATAAAAATATTTTAGCTGTGTCCATTCTGATTCAAAGACGACTGTCTTTTCAGATATAGAAGAAAAAAAATATTATGCGACCTCGAATATAGACAAATAAACAAAGTATTTTTTAAAATATTTTGTCATAGCTGATCATCGACATAGATACGAAAAGAATACGATCACCTGTATAATACAAGGTCTATGTGTCTGTAAACAGTAAAAGCTCATTAGATTTATTGATTTTTTTGTCCTTTTACCGACAAGCCTGAAGAATAAATAATTAATAGAGAGAAACATAATTATAACATTTAGTTATAATTATCAATCTTTCTAGAAAATTTTTGATCTAGAAAGGAATAGAGAATTTAAATGTCAAGTTGTACCGATACGTGAGACAACAATGAATAACAAAAACGATGTACTTGTTTTACAGGAGGCAAAGTAAACAAAATTGATACATATACATATGTATACGAATGCAGGGGCAAGCTAATGAAAGAAAGGAAAGTAACTAGAAAGTGAGGGTAAACAACACTCGAGCAAATTTCAACACACACTGAAATAAAGATCGGGAAAAATCATCAGAAAGAACTATTATTATGTTACATATAAATATTTAATCATAAAAATGATAAATTTACTTACTCGTATGGTATTATCAGATGAACCACTAACAACAAGTTGATCTCGATATTGTAAACAAGCAATGCCTCGTTTATGTCCAAGAAATGTTCGAACAAATTCACATGTTGTGGTTTTCTAAAACGATCTAATATAATAAGATAAAATTGTTGTTTGTTTTTCTTACCCAAACTTTAATTGTACGATCACCACTAGCACTAACAATATATTTATTATCAAAATCAACAACATTTACAGCTGCACGATGTCCAACAAGTACACGACGCATAACAATATCAATTGGTGAATTTATTTCCCATACAGCTATTGAACGATCTTTTGAACATGTTATCATCATTTTATCAATAAATCGAAGATGTAATACAGCTTCACAATGATGTAAAAGTGTATTAAGTAATTCTCCAGTTTCAATACTCCATATTCGTATTGTTGAATCCGATGAACCAGATACAATTATTTTATCATCATATTGAAGACATAAAACACTACCATTGTGACCTGTGAGAATTTTAACACATTCCAATGTTTTTCTATCCCAAATTTTAATTGTATTATCACGAAGACCACTTATAATTTTTTGATTATCAAATTGTAAACAATAAACACCTTTACTATTTCGTGACTGACATTGTATTCTTTCTAATTGATAATTTCCTGTACGCCAATTAGTTTCAAGTTGATTGATATCACGAAGTATTTCAGGATATAAATAACGATAAAATTCATTTCGTTTATGTTGATCTTTACTGATTAATTTTTGTCGAAAAAGATATTTATTCCAACCACGTCGTTCAGATAAACCATGCCATAATATATCTGTAAGAACTTTACGTTCAATCAATTTTTTCCATAGCATACCTAATAGAATATTAAAAAAGCAAAACAAACAATAGTTAATAAGAAATTCTTTTAATTTCAATATATATATATATATATTTTAACCGACCTTGGGATATAATTTGATACCATTCTTGACAAACAAGTTCAGTAGATTTCAATGATTGAACATCTAAATATCCAAGAATCTTTTCTGCTAAATGTTCAAGTCCACATGATGATAAACGTCCAATAAAATCTCGTTGTAACATTGGTGATAAACACGAATTAACTTGTCCATGTTGATGACTATGCATATTATGTAATAAATTTTCAATAAATAATAACTGTTCGTGATCATTCCAACTTGTAAATGCTTCTAAATATTCTTTACTTTTTTCTTCATAATTAATGGTTGATAATTTTTGTGTTGTGGTCATACTAAAGGATATACTATCATCGAGATATGAGGCATTACCAGCTGAGGTAAAATTCATTTTCAACGATAATAAAAGAATAATAAGAAAAAAGTATATGTTGGTAAGTACGAACAATAATTATCTAAAATAAGAGAACTAATGAGATAGTACGTAAAAATGATATAATCAGTAAAAAAAAAGCAAACGTAAAAATTTAGTATTCATACCTTGAGCGGTGTCTTAATTGGTATGTACTTACCTTGTATTTTTTTTGTTTTATAGGTTGATACAGAAAAAGGAAGAAAAAAAGCTCAACGCAATATATAAAATCAGTGTCTGCTTTTCTTTTTTGTTACTCAGTGTTTTAAATGTGAACGTGTTAAAACATGCCTTCATTTTCTCTCGTAAAAAACAAAATATGTATTGACATAAAAGGTAAAAGAAGAGATATGCAGTCAAGCGATGAATATGTTAGTATTCTAATATTGACCTCAGTCACGACATCATTCAGAAAAAAAAACGTGACAAAAACTTCGTGTTTTCTTTAAAGTCAAATACTCTTATGCTAGTATATATATATCTCTGACAGAAAAACAATATAACTAAAATAAAAAATAAAAACTGTTTTAATACAAAGCCATTGTTAATTGACAATAGTGAATCAAATAAAAATAATATAAATATTTACAAAATACACAAAAGTGCAAAGCAAAAAAACATCGTCAGCTAATAGTGAAATCATAATATTAATTTTTATCTTTGTTGGTCATGAATAATTATCTTATCTTCATATACAAAGTGACGAAGAAAAAAAACAAAACTTAATTTACGAACAAAAAGTAATATATATATATACAAACAGCATTAAATATATATACAAACAAAAGCCGAACAACACCGGTAAATACAGGTTTTTGTTTGTGTTTTCAAAAAAAGAAGGAAATTATTTCATATTAAGTAAATAAAAGTGTTCTTCCAAGCGATGTTGCTGGCATTTTATGAGTTTGATGTTTTGTTAAATGATGATCATCACTAAAAAATTTTATAAATTTTTCATTAAATTTTTGTTGACTTGATAATTCAGCCATTTGCTGCAAATAATGACAATAATCTTTATTCATTGTTGATTGATTTAATTGTTCTATATTATGATTATTTACTGTTAAAAAATCTTCATCATTTGATTCATTCGATGATGAAGTCCGTGAACTTGTTGGTGCACTTATTTGACGTTGATATGCTCGAGCATAAGAATAATGAAGATTATATTTGTTTGATGATATACGACTTTCTGTACATTCACAACTAAAATTAATATACTTGATTATATAAAATTTTGAAAAAAAAAAAACAAAGAAATAATTTATCTTACTCATTAACATGATAACAATAATAATCATCATTATCACTAAAAAATGACCAGAAAAAATTCATTGCACGATTTGATGATTGATTAAATGAAGACGAGGGAAGAATTTTTCCAAATATTCTAAAATATATATTTTCATAGAATTAATTCAAAAAAGAAATTCTTTCATTTCTAATAGTTTAAGAATGAATAAAGATCTCAATAAGATTCGTAGATTAGATTTATTGACCTATCTTGAAGTTGGATATCATATATGTAGTTTTGTAGAGTAAAATTCTTAAGAAAATATATATGGTATTCATAGACATTATGATTCCTAAGATAAATTTATTATAATTTTGTTGCTAAACTGAATTGAATACAGTTACTGATGTTGTTCGATTTTCTATAATCAATAGTTTTACTGATTGTTTTATTTGATATTTTAATGTATTCAATTCCGTGACCCAGAACAAGTGATTATCTAATGTGAAGCGTTCTTAAAAATTGCACATTATCAAGGTCTATATGTTTTACATATAACGTCTTTCGAAACAATAGGGACTCATTGTCAACTTGCAAGATTATCCCCTAGAATGGCCGATTTTTCAAAAATGAAACGGTCAGCATATTGATAGTATATCAACAATAAACAACGACCCTATTACAAATTTGTATGTATTAATAATCAGAACAGCATTTTTGATGAATTGATATAAATGACTTCTTTATAAATGAAAAGTAACTTGTGATTCCAAGATCCTTGGAGGGAAGTATGAGTACATGGTTGCAAGAAGGATGTTTGCTATTTTTATTTCGAGCATTCAATTTTTCGTTTTTGAATGAAGCTCTACAAAAATCTATAAACACCTCATGTTCATTTCAAAAATAATTTTTTTCATATTTCCATAAATTTATCTTAGAAACCATAATATCTATCAGTACCATATATATTTCTTAAGGATTATAACCAGACAATTTGAAGAAAACTTGATTTCTTATTTACTGTTCGATGTGTTGTAGATTTCTCTACAAACCACATATATGGTATCTTAGTTCTCAAGATAGTTACAAAATTCGCCAAGGTTCTTTGCGTTCTCTTACATGCGAAATATGATTAAAAATTACGCTACCAATACTAACATCAGAAATACATATTGCAAGTGATTTTTCAGAAAATTTCATATTTTATATCCAATATATGAGGAAATAGTTGTTAACTGAAGTAAATTTCAGGTTTAAAATGTTCATTCTATTACTTTGCAAACATTTTAATTACACACGAAGAAGTTTTAATTACATTTCTTTCAATTTTTTTTTGAGTTACTATATACTATGAATATATGACATGATACATGGAAACAAGAGACGTTCGACAGATATTATTATCATGATCACATGTCTTTCATTCTCTGTTTTTATATAACAATCAACTATCAATTTTACTAACATTTTATTAAGTCGCCATGGTTAAGTGCCTACATTGTTCGAGATGTATTCATAGGGTACTACGTGCAAACTTCAGTATCACCAGCCATAGAATGATCCGGACAAATCGCTAGCGGCTGTTTGTCTTGTAATACCCGTTCTAGTCATGCAAACAGGAGATAATGGAAGTTAGAGCACTATTCTACGATCTTGAACAAAATCCATGGAATATAGTATCACGGATGGTAATTATTATTACGTTTTTTCTTACTTCTGTTGGCAGGATGGTGTCAAATCTACTCTATTCTTAGTTACGTCACTAACCTATCTAATAGCATGCTGATTATGTTGTGACATACATATGCTGTTGTGGTTAGTTATTGTGTATGGAAAGCTGAAGAACTCTGCATCAGGTCGGTCTTCTATCAAGAGCAACAGCTATTATTAGTTATAGGAAACATATCGGACTATTGTATATGTCGCAAGGTAATGGTATTCTTCTTTTCTTATTAAGATCTATTACAAAAATATAAATACAGTATAAGCTCTCTTTAGTGAAGAATCTTCGAACTTTCCGCAAGTGTCCACAATAAGGAGGGTAAGTCTTTTCTACAAACAGTTCTTTTTTTTTTTTTTTTACAAGGAACCGACACATTTTTTAGGTATCTATGGGGTACTAGTGAAGAAAAAAAACCGAACCACTGTTCATAATTACTTGTCTTTTTATGCATTTTGTTCTCGAAAAAGTAACAATTTTTAAAATATAGTAAAATCTTCCTGTCATAAATACCATTAAGACTTTTCAAAAGTATTTATCATAGAACTACACGACAATGTCCACTAAAAAAATAATGTTCTATTCCAGTAATAATCACTTCGTCGAATCGCAAAGTGTTCACTATAGGAGGTTTTACTGTATATTTATACCCACATTCACCATATCATATTAAAAGACAATGATGAGTGCGTACTTTTACATAAGATAATAAGTGAATATTGACGTGTAAAAGTTGACTTAAAATTCAATAGTTTATCGTACCTTTTCATTGTTGTATATGTAAGATCAATTGGTAATGTAATTGGTAAAGTCAAAAATGACCAAACTTTATAAAGATTTGATTCTGCAAAATAACGTCCAATAGGATCTTCAACTTTCTGTCTTGCATTGGCAAATACTATAACAAAAAAAAATCGCAAATTTTTATAACAATAACAAAATATCTTACCAGCAAAAAGTGGTGTTGGTAAATCTTTTTTTCGTCTAACTTTTTCACAAAATGAACTAAATGTTATTTGATGATTTTCTTTTTGAAATTCTTCATCTGATGAATATTCATAACTCATTAATTTATCATAAATATCATGTGATCTTTCATACATTCTACCGACATCATGTAGAACTCCACCATTTCTTAATTGTTTTTCTTCTTCATTAGCCGGTTCTGTATAATTATTACCAAGTACAGATGATATCGTTGTTTTTGTACTTAAATGTGAAGGTTTTATCATATCTAAACAACTATTGTAAATCAAAAATATGAAAATTAAGTTTAAGAAAAACTACATAAGCCCATCGAGAAAGTCGATGTCATTGTCGAAATTAAGATATACTTTCTTTTCTTAAATCAATCGATTTCTAAGATTAAACTTCAGTTGTGAAAAAAATTTTTAGACTTTTGCGATTTATTTGGATGGAGTTATAAGTGTGTAAACATGAGAAAGAGAAAAAAAATGGTAATCTCTATGATTTTCGATTATTTTTTCGTAATTTTTTATTTGTCTTGTTTAAGCAACATTTGCATCTTTTACAGAATCTTTGTGCTGTTCAAAACCATTTTAAAGATTTTGAGAAAATAGTTTCAGAAAAGTTGGGCTCGCACTATTTCTGAGACATCAATTTATACTTTTTGTCTGGTATTTAGTATGTTTTGCTTCAAAAAATAACGACTAGATCAAAACTAATATGATATTCTGAATCAACATCAGAAATCGAATGGATTTAGATGCATTTCAAGTATTTTTTAGGCATTTCTTTCATCGACAAAGTTCATTCCTAGTCTCCCCTTTAGGACTTATGAGAGAACCTTTTCAGGTGCCCATTGTCTTCAAAAGTCATGAAGATTTTAATTTTGTCTCTATAGTGCATAAAACACAATGAAAGCCATAAATCAATCAAATCGGCCTGTTTTTTTCGGTTACTGGTAGGAGTTTATTCAGTTTTTTTTTTCATATGAATAAGGTAAGCAAATACTACTATTAAGTGTGATTGTTGATATCACAAAAACAATGTTACGTGTTATCAAGTAGAAAAACATACGTGTGTATTGTTTCATAGATAACTTACAATTTTCATGTAAGAGAATTATGAGGACAAGTCAAAACAAACTTTACGAATAGTTTTGTGCTGATGTAGGACAATGTAGGTTATTAAGATTAGTCAATTTCACTACTGAAATTGTAACCCATAATTAAAACACTCAATTGAAGCTCTTTGGGTATTAAAACATCAGTTTTCTTGCAACAAACAATATTCTATGTTTGAAAATTCGAAACTTTACCATCGTCAAGTTTTAAACTCAATAGTTTTGAAAATTTGCTTCGTATATATCAATACACTATTATTTATCAAGTTCATTGTGACTCGTTCTTATTATTCTCTTAGTTGATAACCGAAAATTATCTATGAAATGCTGCACATATATTTTTTTTTTCTACTTGATAACAGACAAAACTATTTTCATGACATCAACAATAATATTTAACGGTAGTATTTGCTTACCTTATCCGTATGAAAAAAAAAACTGAATAAACTTCTATTAATAACCGAAAAATCAGTCTATTAGATAAAATTGACGCGGAAATATTTCATTTTTTTATATCGTAGTGCTTTATATGATCGACACTGTATGTTATGCACACTCTAAAGGATAAAATTAAAATGCTCATAAGCTTTGAAGAAAGTGATAGGAATTTTGAGATACACATAAACTGACTTGATTGTTAATGTTGATTCAGAATATCATAATAATTTTGATCAAATCGTAACTTTTCTAAGTAAAATCTGCTAAATATTAGATCAAAAAAAGCACAAATCTATGCTTCATTTCGAGAAAGCTATTTTTTTTTATATCGAAACTCGACTTTTTTCAGAAATCTATTTGAGAATTTTTTGTTCAGTCAGTATCTGTTCTTTCAAATAAAATGTTACTCAAACAAAACACATAAAAAACTACGAAGTTATAAGCGAAATAATTGAGATGATCATTCTTTTTTCTGTTTCTCAGTGTCCGTTATGTTTCAACACTTACTACTCCATCAGATTCAATAGTAGAAGTCTAAAAATTCTTTTATACCTTCATTTTACTGTTGTTAGAAATCGATTGATTTAAGAAAAATGTATATCTTAATTTCGACTATAAAATAGTCCTGTTGACGAATGTTCAATCAACTGATTGGCAAAATGTTTCTTAATACTTCGTGTCTGTAAAAATTTTAAACCATCAATATAACCACGCCAACAAATTTCTTTTAATACTGATAAATTCGGTGGAAATAAAGCATGAGTTAAACGATATAAATTTTCTTGTGTACATGAAATATCCGTTCCTAACAAAATGAAAAACATTTTTTTCTATTAAGAAAATAAATTTCAAAAAATAATTTTTTTTTTACCTTGAAAATCAATACTAAAGAAAGATCCTGATTCATCACGTGGACAAATATCACATTCACCAGCAAATGGTGATATTAAAATAGTGTTTCCATCAATAATTGGATTATTATTTGTTAAACCACCATCCCAATAATACTAAAAAAAGAAAAAAAGGATCAATAAATTTTCTTAACAAAAATTTATTTATTTTTACTTCGTTCCGAAATTTATGTGGAATTATTCCTGACCAATATGGTACAAAACTTGAACAAATAAGTACTTGAATAAGTTCCTCACGATTATGATACTGATTAATAAGAAAATTTTTATTATCTTTCCAACGTGTTAATGATATAAATAAACGTCCTGAACATATTTCATGTGCATTTGGTGGTAAAATTCTTCGTAAACCATTACGTATAATATCAACTATACTAAATGTTGGATGCAATGGTCCTAATGCATGAGTTCGTGCACGTATAGCGATTTCAAGTGCATCACTACACATTTGTCCAAGACAACAACCACTCATAGCACATGCAGCAACAAGTGCACCTGCCGAACAACCAGCCATTTTATTATTAAGAACTTCTGGTGCATGTTCTTTAAAAGCACATATAGCACCAATATGATATACACCTAAAAATCCACAACCAGCTAATGATAAATTAATTGGAGATGGATTTGATTTAAGAATCATTTAGATTGAATAATTGTATTTTTTTTTTCTCTAGTAAAATAAATCTACAAATAAATAATAAACGAAGAATATTTTTTCTATTCTTTCATAAATGATATCGAGTATGCATGTTATCTTTTCAATACTCTTTTGCATAATACACTATTTGATCTTTATATATGAAGGTGTGTGCAGAAGATATATATTTGATTCGTATTTTAAAATAAATAAACGATAATGATAGCGTAATTGTAGGAAAGAAAAGTCATGTGAATGACCCACATAAAACAAATACAAGTACTTCGTTCTTGCCCTTGAATAAAACAAAGCAAACAAAAGATATAATATAATAAATTTTCAGTCCTTTTTTTTTTTCTCTTGGGTTGATATGAACGGACATGTATGAGTCATGTGTTAGATCTTTAAAAAAAATGAACCAGCGAGCGAACGAGCGAGCAACCTGCCATTAAATTATCAAAAAGAAGATATTCACAAATAGCCAATTAAAAGATGAATATAAAACTTTTATTTAAAAAGATGTCACCGAAATAGGATTTATTTGATTCAATGATTCTTATGTCAAGCTTTTCTATCACAACTACAAACTATTTACATAATATAGAATACCAGCTTTGTATATTAATTAAAATGATGAGTTATTCCTTTTGCTTAAACTACATAAGTTTCTCATGTAATTTAAAGCGAACAAAACTCGATGGTAAATTATTCGGTATAATGTGCGTTTTAACCGACTATCTCCTGACTGTTATTCTACCACAATATACCGATGGTTGTTCTCCTATCGATTATGTATTGCCGATATATGATCGATTGCATGCATAAACATGCAACATGGGATTTCTTGGGGATCGAAATATTTAACAGATGCAAATGAATCAAGTTGTTATTACTTAATTCAACAGATCATTTCATATTCTTTGATCAATGAGAAAAAGACATATAAGCATTTCACTTGAATAATTTCTTTTTTGTTTATGCAACGATATTGACGTAACATGTATTTGATTTTTTTATCATATTTTTAACATTGAAATAGCTGTTTGAGACAAAGTAATTTATCGTAAGAAGAGGTCAGGTATATGATGTTAAAAAAAATACATTTACAAAATTTATATTTCAGCATAGTTATTTACAATCAAATTGTTTTGTACCCAAACATGATGTCATTGAGACAAAGGATATATAAGAGAAAAAATTTAACAATACGATGTATTGCTAATGAAATAAAATCTTTTCGTCTTATCATTTTTTTTTATAATATAATAAAAGAACTTTTCGCAATTGAATGATAACATGCTGTGATTAATGAATACGTATATTGCAATGACACTACGAGATAATTATTCATGTAAATGCTATTCAATAGAAATAGTTTGAAGCATCAATGCACCTCATATTTAATAAACGTGGCTATTGAAGAATACCAAAACGATTCCAATTATCTGAACTTTTGTGGTCGAAAAATACGATATTACATACGGCTAGTCGTGTTATGTCGATCCAATACAACATAAAAGGGGCCACATACAGTGCATAAACGACCGTTTACGGTAGTTCGTAATGATTGGTCCGGATGAATATTTTTGTTTAAACTAAATTATAAATCTTGAACAAATCTCAATACTACCTTTGTTATTCAAACCGAACAAAAATCGGTGATAGTGCAAATAAGTATAGGAGAGTTGTTACTTTAATTATTGTATAGAAATTAAGAAATTTTGAACTTAGCTATTGGATATTTTTAAGGTACTTCTTAGTAGAAATTAGTTTATCATTTACAGATATTTTTTTTTCCATGTTGCCCAAAATTTATGTATACAAGCAAATGATATAAAAATATGTGTATAAATGAATTACGTGAAAATTAGGTCATTAAACACGCTCTGTGATCGATTGAAATAACCAATCGAGGGTTAATATTCCAAATAAAACTAATATTGCAACAATTATCACAAGCTGAATCTAAACATTGAAAATTTATTAGTTAATTCGAAAGTCCTATATTATTATTTATCATAATATAACTAATGGAAAATTCTTAATTAAGTAAACTAAATAACTTCACTATATAACAAAAGTGAACATTAACTATATCTGACCGATTAATCGAATGTAAAATAATGCTTCTATACTTTTTGTAATATTTTATAGTTTATTTATGTATCGAGAATAAAAATCAACATGACATAAAAGGAAAAAAAGAACATTGGAATCCAAAAAAAAGTTTTCCTATTGTTATATGTTGTTGATTTATAAATACAATCCTTCAGGTGTACCTTGATTTTTTCGATAAAGTACTGTTTCTTTACTTTTTCGAAAATCTTCATTTGTTACTTTCATGCGCCGTTCTCGTAATGCCATTAAACCAGATTCAGTACAAATTGCCTAAAAAAATAAACAAACCTTTTTTTCTTAGAAAAAATTCAAATAATCATTTAAACTAACTTTAATATCAGCTCCACTAAGATCATCTTTAGCCATAATTAATTCTTCTAAATTAACATCATCAGCAAGCGTCATACGACCTGTATGAATTTTGAATATCATTCGACGTGTTTTTTCATCCGGTAATGGAAATTCAATTTTACGATCGATACGACCAGGTCGAATTAATGCTGGATCAAGACTATCAATTCGATTTGTTGCCATAATAACCTAAGAGAATTATTTTTCTTGTTTCTTTTTTTTTTTTAAACAGAAAACAAAATTTTTACTTTAACATCTCCACGAGAATCAAATCCATCAAGTTGATTTAATAATTCTAACATTGTTCTTTGAATTTCTCTTTCACCACCTGAATTTGATTCATAACTAAACAAAAAACAAGATAATATGTAAATTTAATTACATTAACAAATAGAAAATTTACCGTTTTGTTCCAATAGCATCAATTTCATCAATAAAAACAATAGCTGGAGCATATTCTTCAGCAACTCGAAATAGTTCACGTACGAGTTTTGGACCATCACCCTAAAATTTTTTAAACTTAATCAATTAATTTTCGAGAAATAAATCTAAACTACCAAATATTTTTGAATTAATTCTGAACCAACTACACGTAAAAATGTTGCCGATGTTTGATTGGCTACAGCTTTGGCAAGAAGAGTTTTACCTTAATAAAAAAATTTTATTTTATTAGACAAAAAAAATAACATATGTATGAATTAGGCATGTACCGAGATTCTCATACTTAGTGATATGTTAGCATATGTCATTCCGTCGTTTTCAATAGAACTTTATTAAACATGTTTTGAGAACGAGGCTCTGGGTTTTAGTCATTTTCGGTCGAGAGTTTTCTACTTTGTGATATCTTTTCATATATAAATATAATCATGGTTCTTAATGAAGTTTGACCGAAAGACACCGATGGTGAATATTCGAATTCAATGTCTATTTTTTATAATTTACGTCAACAAAGGGCACACAAATCTCATCATAAGGTCTTTTTTTTTTCAATAGAAAGCGAATAACAAGGAAACCTCTACAGCGACCCTCTTGCAATCTCAATGATCTTCTGCTTATACATACTAAATAGTGTTCTAATAAAAGCCCTGAAAGGATTTAAGTTTGATTAAACTATCGCATTTTTTTTTTCAGAGATCCTAGGCTTTCGAAAAACCTTTATTTTCGAATTTCTATCTGAAACTTTATGCACATAGAGAATTCAACTAGACTATCTTCTATAAAAAAAAATTCAGAAGTTTTGAACAACATCTTTTCGAGATATGAAGCTTTCAAAAAAATGTTCCATTTGGTCAAGTTTTATTGAATATGAAAAAGTCAGATATGGCAAAATGTCCCTAAGTACGAGAGTCTCGGTACCCACCTAATTCATATGTCTGTTAATTTCAAAGAAGTGACGCTGACTGACAGCTCTCTCTTTCTTTTTTCACATGTTCATAACAAACAAGCTTTGAAGAGTCAAAAGATAGAATAATGCGAAGAGCAAAAAAATCTAAACTCCTTGGTAAGTTTTGTACACGCCTAGTTATGAAATACCTGTTCCAGGTTGACCATAAAGAATAACACCTTTCGGTGGTTTAATGCCCATCTCTTCATAATATTCAGGATGAGTTAATGGTAATTCAACAGCTTCCTTTAAAAACAAAATTAGAAAATAATTCAATTTTTTGTGTACGAGTTTATATTTTTACTTTAATCTCTTGAATTTGTGTTGTTAATCCACCGATATCTGCGTACCTAAATAGATAAAAAAAAAGAAACTTCAAATGTTTGTTTTTCTTTTTTTTTTTCTTTACGTTTCTTTCGGTGCTTTTTCAAGTTTCATAACAGCAACCATAGGATCAACATCATCACCTAATACACCAATTACAGCATGAACCTAAAACATTATGTCATTTTTTATTTTATATAAATGAAAAAAAATCAATAATTTACTTTATGATTTAATAAGACAGTGCATCCAGGTTCAAGTTGATCTTTATCAACAAATGACATGATGGTAACATAATGTTCAGAACCAACTGATGTTGAGACAATAGCATGATTATCATCAATGATTTCTTCTAAAGTACCAACAGCCATTGGTGATCCTCTGAAATTAAAAAACAGAAATAGAACAAAAATTTGTACTAGAAGGAATTCTAATAGTCCTATGAAATATCAGTCTATTAACTCGTGAGTCAATATGATTGCAACATCGATTATCTTGCAAATATCTCAATACAGACAGATCTTATAATGTTGAATTATTATTTTTTTCAAAAAATGCATCATCAAATTGTCTTTGAGAATAGCAATGCAAAAAGTTTCATTGAATTGTTTTACTGATTTTCAAACCGTCGACGGTTAACCTATGGTAGTTTGAGACTCAGATAGTTAATTATCCTCTGATCTCTATTCTACCGTGGTATGCCATTGGTACTTATGGTTATTAGAACGGAATACAAAGCTCCAGAAATATCAAATGCTATATCCAAAGATTTGTGGTCTTCTAATTCACCGAGCTTAAATCTATTTAAGTACTTTTATGGGATCATGTCAATAAGAACTCATGCTCAACTTCGAGGACTTTTCTTTAAAATCCTACAATCGATTTCATCATCAGACGAAAGGAATAAAGCCGAGGACAAGAACGATTCTCAAGGTGTCATAACAGCACTCAGGTTGAAAGCTAACTTTTCTGAACTATGATTCTCTTTTGATACAATTACAATATTTCAAATACTATCAATCGATAAATTCGTTGTTTTGATTAACTTTCGAAAGTATTAAATTTCATTCATGATTATATCGAATATAAAAACTTAGTTCATACCGAATATCATCGACTTTTGAACGCTCTTCCTAGAAGTAATAAATTAAAATTGTTTTTATTTTAAATAAAATAATTATACTTCATGACGATCTTCTTGTGGTTTTAAACGTTCTTGATTTTTAATAAATTCTTCTTCTAATAATAAATAATCTTTAATACGCTCAAACCGTAATTGTTTTAAACGACAACGTGTATATGGTAAAACTTGTGGTAATTTATTAGCTGCTTCAGGACCTTTTGTACGTTTTTTTCGTTTGCCTATACGTGTTGGAAGAGGTGGTTCATATTTTTTTTTCTACATTAAATAAATTATTATTTATTACATTAGTCTGTTTTAATTTTTGCTTACTTCTTTATCTCCTGTTCCATCACCTCGTCTTTGACCACTTGAACCTTGATTTCCCTAGAAGAAAACCAACTTCAAATTTAGTTTTTCTAAAAACAAAACATCTTCATTCTCACCATTTGAAAATCTACAAGAAAAAAAAAACAAGACAATCTTATCACAAAGAAAATTAAGTAGACTGATGTAGTTATGTTTTTGTTTTGTTTTCCCAAATAAGAAAGAATTACATATTCCTTTTTTTTTCACAATAATAGGAGTAGAAAAAAAAAGTGATCAAACAAGACATGCAAATGTATATGAACAAGAAAAACAAAATTCTTTTTTATTTCTATTTTTTTGTGTATGTGTGAAGTCAACCAGTTTAATTTTTTGATGATCATAATAAAGATATTTTTTAATCCGTATGAGAAACTGAATGTTGAACATGTTCAGGATGATCATTTGATTCATGTGTAAATGTAATTGAATCTGATCGTGATGGTCGTCGATGTTCAATATCGTGTTCAACAGCTTCTTCCCATGATTCATGTTTAACACCTTCAGCTAAATGAAGAAGTTTTATATGAACAGCCATTACTTTTTCATTCTTTGGTGGCATTAACATTTTTTTATATGATACAATATCACCTTTTTTTGGAACATAATCATCATCAATACTACATTAAAAAAATAAATGAAAGAAACAAAATTCAATAGAAATATTTACTCAGAAACATGAACAAATATAAGTTCATTTGGATTATCTTTTGGTTGAATATGACCATAACCTTTTTCACGACAAAATTCGTGAATTACACCTTCATAACTTGGACTTTGTAATGTACGTTCGCATCTAAATTATAATTTAATTCTTCAATTTATTTATTTATTACGATAAATAATAATATTTCAAAAATTCAATACGATGTCTGTGTTTTACCAAGAAAAATACATTGTATCGAAAAATGTGAACATCAGGTTTGGTGAGTCAATATTAGGAGATTTTTGCTAAAATTGACCGAATGTTGGAGTGGAAGGATGTGTACTTTTTTGGAAATTAGTGAGAAAGAAAAAAAAAACACTGCAAATCTGCTGGAGAAAAACGAAAACTTTCGGACAACGAAGAATCACTTCTAGGAATGCAACGGTGACAGTGAGCCACCAGATCCCATCTTTCATTAATGGCACCATATCTATGGTGCACCGTCACCATTGCATTCCTCTGATGGCACTAGCCGTCGCTTATGTTACCATTCGTTCACTGTTAGTTACATAACGTCAGTCACTTCTATTTCGTGTTTATCTTTTTATTCAATAAATTGATAGATTTTTATAGACTTTCAAGTCATTTTCTCATCGTTAGTCACCTCATCATGACACTTCGAATTGCATTTAGTTACATCTCACCTCTGAATGCTCTGCATATACTAATCAGTCTGTGCATTATTGAAAAACATATTTCGTAAACATCTCTGCTAAATTTTAGTGTAATAATTGAATTATTTATATTAGTAATCAAAATATAGAAATCTGCAACGACTATAGTGACTTATCATTACTCAAAACTTCGAATTTCTTCTTCATTAAGTTGAATATTTTCATATAGGAAATATGAATTCCCAACAGATGTTGCTGGTATACGATTACCGACCGGTACATCAATAATGTCTCTTATTAAACTACTTCCTTATTACATTGTTGTAGGATTAAATAAAAAAGATAATGTGTCCTAACATACATAGACTAAAATATTAGCAACCACAGCTGCATCATGTTTCATATTTTAATCTTTCAGAAATTGCACTAATAGCTTTTATTTCGTATAAAACATTCAAGATTTCAAATAAAATAACCTTTTATAAATTCATGAAATCAATTATGTATCTTTATCCAAACCTTGCGTAAAGATTTCAAGATCAGAAAAATCTCTCTTAGACGTGAAAGTCATAAGTAAATATTCAATATCTTACTGTGAAAGTGTTCGTTCTCTTCTTGGAATATATGTATGCGTATGATGATCTCCTTCATGAGATGGATGAAATGCTGATGATGTTGGATGAGACATGATTACAAACGATAAAAAACAAAAGAAGAATCTATCTAGAATATATACAGAAAAAAAAAATATACATATATAATATTTATGACGTATTTAATAATGATGTAAAACGAAAATTTTTTGGAAATGGATCTTTTCTACTAACAACTAATGTTCGAAATTTATATGATATATAACCTTTAATCATCCCTTTTTGTATCATACTATTTAATATATCAATAAGTTCATTAATTGTAAAAAAATTTTCTTTTTCAAAACCAAAATTTAATAATAATAATAATGTTGTTTCTAATGGAATTTTATCTGTTTGCTGTTGATCAATTTGATAAACATACATACGAAATAAATTTCTTATTGTTATTAATTTTAAATTTTCAATTAAAAAAAATAGACCACTATCAAATAGAAATTGTTCATATTGTTTTATTTTATCAATAAATAATTTTAATGAACCAATACGTATTGGTTCAATTAAATCAATTAATTCATTTAATTGATATTTTTCAAGTATATCCATTTTAGGTGTTGAACCATGTAACATTTTAACTATAACTAAATATAATAATGATTGTTGTTTATTTTTAATACTACAACTTTGTTTTGAATCAAGACAATTTGTAAACACATAATCAAAATGTTCAATAGCTGATTTATAATTATGTTGAAGTAAAAGATGTTTACCAAGAAAATAACGGTATGTTAGTACATAAGATGAAAATCGACGTTCTTGTTGGGTATTTTCTTCTTGCATATATTGTTTTAATGAACGTTCAGCTAGAAAAAAGAAAACAAATAATTACTTATAATGTGCTTGATTCTTAATTCGCTTCTTGATCATGAACATAGATAAAAAAAAATTGGCCATAAACTAGTTTATTTGTTACTAAAGGCGATCTCATTTCTTTCATCTGTTTTTCTCAATCGTCTTGATAGCATATGCTATCAAGACGCTTAAGAAAGATAGATAGAAGAAAAGAGACCGCCCTTAGCAATAAACAAGCTAAATCTATGGTCCATTTTTTTATGGAGATTTTCATCACAATTGTCAATTAAAACAACACAATTACGCATCATTCAAAATTGATGAAATCTTAACGATTATGATCGATTTGGAATGGAATTTTTTTTAAATGTGAATGGAACAACTTTCATAATTTGTTCGATTTTTCAATAACAGAATTTTCAGGTACAAGGAAAAGGTAAACATGCATCAGAGACTCTCTTTACGCTACCAGAAAACAAAAAAAGAACAAATAATAAGTTGAGAATTCAGTTTTTTTCCTTCATTAGCACGTATCACCGATAGGAACATTCTCCAAGGACACCATTTTATATTTATAGACAGACGGAGAAAAAAAGTGACACATAATAATTTGTCATTTCTTGTTACTTTTTCTATCAAATACTTTCGAGATTATAACTCTTTGTAGTTTCTATCAATGATTAATATATATTATGAAAAGCTCACATTGGCCCATTAATTCACTTTGCTAACTGCTTAGATATTCTCTATGCCATTTAGGTATGATTGATCATAATTAAAAAAATATATTGTTCAGTTATATTATGATTACTTATGACACTATGAATACCTGTATTTACTTGAAAATTCTTTTCATACAAATAGACTTAGGCCATATGGCAGACTTTTTTTTCTATAAAAAACCTGTGTTACACTATATTTTGTTTTCGGCGGCCAAATCTTATAATTGCAGAATTGCAAGCCCAAACTGATCTGAGTCACAGCATGCCATTAAACGACCAGTCTCCAATGATCAAAAGATTAAAAGAAATCTTATTAGTTACATATTGATGCGGTTAACTTTGGGGATGATCATGAAAGATATGGTCTCAAAGGTTGTTATTCATAAAAACCAAATATAGTTCATCATGAGTAACTCTCACTTGAATATATAATGCAGTACGAGCTTTCTTGTAGAAGCAAAAGTTTTCTTTATTCAGCAAACATCAGAGGTGCACAAATTCGATTGAAATTCTAATATTATTATATCAACTGAAGGATGATGAAACATTATAGACTTATAAAGCGTTATTTGGACGATCAGAATGTCTATAGAGAAAATGTGACGCCCGCTGTTTGAGGCCGTATTTGACTTTCAAGAGCATCCTAGTGATATATTAGCAAAAGTCTAAAAGAGTTCATCCTCATAAGCCTTTGGAGCCAAATTATAATCATTTTTGCTGAATCTTTGACTCAGCTTTAGTTATATACCGAAAAGGATATTCGTTTATCGAGATATCGACTATCAAGTAAATTCGACTTTTCTATAATGTCTGCATCAAGTGACTATTTTTGAGAAATCCGATATCTCAACAAAGGAACTTCTCAAGATATTCTAAGACTTAATATACATATTTATTGGCAAAATTTTGTACCGAAATTCCGTTATTTGATCTTTCAGGAAATTCCTGCAAGACAGTTGAAAGTTTAATAAAACAATCCTAACTTGACTTCAAAGATCCATAGAGGCTAACCCTTATAGAATTTTTCTAGTTTTACGAGGACATTTTTATCGGCTGAGTATATGCTCAAACGACTGGTAACAATTCGTATAGTTTCTTCGTAAGTATAATGAGTTTTTAATTGATACATATTTTTCATAGATAGTGGTTACTCTAGTTGAGTTGTCTATATGCATGAAAACGTAAGATCTCTAACAATAAAATTCGATCGCTTAGTAAAATGCAAATTCTTTTAGGATTGTTATTAGAACACTATAACAGGAATGTTTGTTATTTTTTTTATGAATAAAATAACTTACTTTTTGAGATGAAATAAGTACATAAATTAAATTTATGTAAAGCATAATATGCTTTTAACATTTGATTGACGACAATAAAAATGCCAACTTTTCTTAATTTATTTGTCGATGGAAATCTTTGTATAGCACCTAAAGCATTTAATAATTGACTATTATATGTTTGTATTGTACTATTTGAATTCATATTATCTGATGTTTCATAATCATCATTATTCAATTCATCATTTCCAGGTAAAGCAAGTAAACGTAATTCATGTGCAAGTCTATTAAAAACAGGTAATAACCATGATGGTTCATCTTCATTTAATGATGGATTTACTTGATCTGTATCATGAATATCATCAGCGAATGTTGCACTTGTCATTCGATTTAAATATCCATTAAGAATAGACATAAGACAAGAGAATTTTTTCGATTGATGACGAAAAGCTCGATCAATATCATTTAAATGTAAATAACGACAAACACACCAATGATGTTGACTTAATAATTTCCAAAGAAAATCTTGATCATTAATTAATTGTTGATCTAAATTAGGTTCAATATAATCATTAAAATCCAAATCATCAATTTTGTACATATGTATTACATTAAGTAATTCACTAAGTAAATAACCATCACGTTGTTTAACTGTATCAATTATTGAATCAATAAAATCTGATTGTATACGAGAATAAATAAAATCATTAGTCATAGTTTGGTTTTTTTTATCTACAATAATGAAAATTTTATTTTCTTTTGTTCTCGATTAGTATATTCATCAAGTGAATGTCTTAGAATAGAACATAAATGATTACAATTTGTACCAAATTTACCAGATATTTCAACAATATGTTCAAACTGAAAGAAATTTTTTGGCCGCCATTTATCATCATATTCATTGTCTAATATTTGTTTATAATTATTTAATGAATAATAAAGTTCATTTAATTTTGTTTGATTATCTAATTGATCAATTTTATTTATAGCTAATATAGCTGATTTATTTAATAATAATGGTTCATATAATTCAAGTTCTTTTGTTAAAAATACAATTGAATCAAATGCTGAACGTAATGGTGAACGAAATTCTAATTGAAAACCATTTATATCAATAACAAATAAAAGAATTTTTGATCGTAATGTATGTTTTAAAAATCTTGAACCAAGTCCCATTTTTAAATGTGATCCTTCAATAAGACCTGGTAAATCAGCTATTGTAAATGAACGACTATCATCAAATACAACAGTGCCTATTTGAGGATGTAGAGTAGTAAATGGTACAGGTGATATTGCTGGTTGTGTACGAGAAAGCATTGAAAGAAGAGTTGATTTACCAGCATTTGGATAACCAACAAAACTAAAAAAAAAATATTGTCTTTTATTATTATTATGAAAGTTATTCAAGACTTAGAACATAGATGTTCGAGTATAGGTGATGTTATGGTTAAAAAAAAACAATTTGTATTGAGATCAGAAAATAAATGAATCGCGACGATTATTGAGACTGACGAAGACAAAATGTTTATTATATCAGATAATACGGTTCTTGTATTTATTGACTTGTGATACAAAACAGATACCCAGGTATTGATATATTTTTGTTTTTCGCTTTCAATATCTTGTTTTATATTTAATTGTACATCACAAGACAAAAAAAAATATTATATGCACACTACAAAAACGACGATTACTTATGGAACTCAAAATAAACACTCACTATCAAAATAATAAGATGCTGATCACGTAGTTTATTCATGCTCTCCAGTGACGTATTGCTCCATATAAAAAAGTTTTACTCAATATTACAATGATCATTGTTCATATGATTATTTTGTTCTATGAATTTCATGTTCATTATTCAATTTTTTGATATCGATTTACAAGATCGACATTGTTTTTCATATCTGATGTTCAATAATCGATATTCAAATCTTTTCTTTTGCTTCTAACAAGGTTATCGAAAAATAATTTATTTAGAATCAAAATTTTGTATTGTTTTAGAATATACGTTCAACATTTCTGTATGACTTATAGTTTAGAGGACGTATCAAGAAGTTTAAAACAATCATTCTGGATTCGCCTAGTGCACTTTGCATGTCTATTATTTATAGAAATTGAAAAAATTGCCTTAATTGACATTATGTCTCTTACCAAAATAATCACTGTTGATAAATGTTTTGAAAAAAAAAAAACTAATTATCAGCAAACCATTTTACAGAGCAAAATCTGCTCTTTCATCTTCTGTATTTGAAATAATTTTCGTTTCTACTTTGGGTAATTTGATTTTTACTATGTCCAATTATCGAACAAAGATATCCGACAGTGATTCTGGTAGAATTACACCACGCTATTGTCATATAGGTATAAAACATTGGTCAGTCAATTACGATAGTCTGTGAAAACTAATCTGATATTAGGACTCAACATCTCAAACTGAGTTGACTTACCTGTATTTCAAATATCTTCATAGAACCTTTTTTGCCGAAAAATTTACTTATGATCCCTCCCCCCCCCCCCCTAGAGTTGGGTCAAAAAGAAATTTCATCAGAAAGTTATTTTGAGACTGGAAATCAAGTTCCAAGATTATAAAAACAATAGAACTCCAAACAACAGCTGAATAGCTAATAAAAAAATTTTTCATGAAATTTATTTTTTGTCCCAACTCTGAAGGGAGCCAAGAGTAAATTTTTCGACAAAAAAAAAGATTTTATGAAAACATTTGAAATAGAAGTCAACTCAGTTTTGGATGTTGATTTCTAATATCAGATTAGTTTTCACAGACTATTGTAATTGGCTGGCCGAGGTATTTATACAAAGTCGGAGCACATGAAAAGTACTCCCTTTCCAAAATCTTGGGTGATAGTTTGACATAGAAAAAAACAAATTTCTCGAGACAACTAATTTCAATAGTTATCAACCTCCCTCCTCTTTTCTGCAAGTTGAAAAACGAACGAACCTTTTTTGTCATATTACTTTTCGGTCGCTCTCAATGGATAGGAAATAATTTCAACTTTTTTTCTTACTAACCCAACATCAGCTAATAATTTCAAATCAAAATTAATCATTGTAGTTTCGCCAGATTGTCCTTGAAAATATGTTTTATAATTTCCTCCATCCCCACCATGTGCTACAATACATTCATCATCAATATCATTTATTTCATCTATTAATTCACCATTATCACGTATAACTTGAATACCTAATGGTACATGAATAATTAAATTTTCACCTGCTTTTGCATTTAAACATGTTTTATGACTATGTTCACCATCGGATGCTATATAACGTTTAGCTAAATTTTTTTCATAAACATTTCTTAATGTTAAATGACGTTTACCACGTACAAGTACGTGACCACCTTGTCCTCCAATGCCACCATATTTTTTTATACCATTTCCACCATGTCCACCACGAACATAAACACGAAGTTTATCAATAAATGGTAAATTTAAATGGCGGCCAAGATCTTGTTCAGCTATTTTGTATAAACAACGGGTAAAAAACATTTATATCTACAACAAAAAATAAACAATAAAACAATTCGTTCTTTTGTTATTCGAAAGAAATTAAGATTATGTTATAAGAGAAAAACAATTATTACTCTATCCTACCTGTTGAATATCTATAAATAGCAACAAATGTTTTATGTCATATGAATTCGATTGAAAGACCTTCATAAGATTTTTCATATTGAGAATTATATTCACAATTAGTTACAACTAATCATTGTCCGTAACGTAACATTCAGCATACTATCCAAATAAATATTCATGTTTAAAGTAAAAATTGATGAATAATAATAATAAAGAGAAAAGATAGATTACATTTCTTCTATAAAGTAGAGAGAAAAGAAAGCCAATCAGAAAAAAATCATTTTTATTTCGATCGTTAACGAGCGACATCATTAATACTACTACAAACTTTGTGTTTTTTTCTCTTCAACTTTAACCCTTATTATGCAAGACTATTCCTTTTTCAACAAAATAAATTATTTCTACGATGAAAATAAAGCCAGAACTTTTTATATCTATTATAAGAAAAATTCTGTAGTTCAAGTATCTATCACGTTGTTCAATTGATCTTACACATTGTAATACTCAAACACGATCTTTTTCTTTTCCAGTGTGTATGATGAACGAGAGAAGTCCCTCAACTGATTAATTATTTGTGAGTAGGAACTATGTGCATCATGTAATTTTCAGTTCGAGTCCTTAGCTCATTGCTGTTGGTATTCTTAATTGTTATGGTATTTTTTAAGTCAATGCCGTTGTTCTAATCAGAAATACTAGAAAAATCTACCGGTGTATATGAGCAGAGTAAAAAAAAACAAGTTTTTATCATAGCTGTATTTTAGGATACGAAGAACGAAATTATCTGCAGTATCTATGGAAAATTTTAAGTTGAAATTAAAAAAATTAATTTTCTTAGTGTACCGGAGAGGAACTACTGCATTGAAGTAAAAAAACATCGTAACAATAGCAATATTTCGGCAGCAATAAGCTAACAATTCGAAGTCTTGTCAGGTTATTCATAATTCATTTAAGTCTATATGAGACATAGTCTCGACTCAAAAGCGATTAATCAGTTCGAGGACTTCATTTCTCAGATTTTCATAAAAAACAAAAATTTAGATCATTATCTTTCTTAAACCATTGACCATATTTAACTATTATATTTTGCTCTGAGATACATTAAATAATCTATAATAATATAGTCAAATATTACTTACAATTTACTATGCTATTTTGTCATACTCTCTAAAATGTATTTCTTATAATAAATTTGTAGCAATTCAATAATACAAGCATCCTGGAATGAATTTTATTGTTATTCACATTAAACACATATCAAAGATATTAGTTAAACCAGATTTGACTAAAATCCATGCCAAGTCCATTAAATAATTGCGCATATATATATATATATACAACAAATACGTTGAAGACAATTATTTAAAAACAAAAAAAGACTAAGTTGGATCACCGTGTAAATGATTGGTGATACATTGGTTTGTCATAGTTGTCATTCAATTAACACAGAAACCATGAATTGGTGAAGTTTTAACTTTTGGAAATAATCACTATCAATATTTCGAACTTTATCAAGCTGCATAATACGATGCATTTTAATTGATTTTAATTGCATTATTTTCTAATTGCTCTATTGCCTCCTATTGATATCCTTTTAATTTTTAGTTTTACTGTTGAAAAACATGATGTTTAAAAATATGTTTAACAATGCATTGGATATAATGACCTACGTACATTTACATATACAAATACTAGGTTCATTGAAGAGATTATTGCTAAAGATTCATATATACGTCCATAGATATACTAGAATGATCATTATTAATAGGTTATTTTACTCGAACACGTAATATATTAAGACCAATTTGCGTTAAAGTAAAATGCTGATAAAAAACTAGCTCGCTATACAAGGTCATTTTTGGAAAAGTAGTATGAATTTCCATAATCGCAGGCTATGGATTTCTATTTTGTGGGGTTTGGGGGTGTTATTTTATCACTACTTTATAAAATACATATAAATATAATCTTTATATTTATGAAATAAACATAAATAAAATCTTAATATTTATAAAATTAATATTTTATCTATCTTATTTTGTGAATGATAAACATTTGTTTTAATTTTAATATACATTTATTTTTCAAATATCAAGAATTTCTTTATTTTTATGTTATAAAGACAAAGATTTTATTGATAATTATCCTTTATTATAAAGAAAAGTAAAAAAATGAAGTAACACCTCTGTGTGGGACAGAAAGATAGAGGAGTTTAATTTGTCGGTGTTTTGATTTACACGAGTTAATACCAATTAGTATCGCACTTCGAAGTATGGTATGTGTCAAAAGTTGGTCTAGTGTTTCACTTAATATTGTAGAAGGAATGAGGAGGAGTCCACAAAAAAAACTGAAGTTTTCAAATTAAAAATTCAGACAAAGACGTTTCACCTGTATCGTGATTAAAAAAGTTGAAAATTTGAATAATCGTATTAGAATAGAAATACTTTAATCAAGTTTCAAATATAAAAAAACTCATCAAAGATAGATTTATTTTTCAGTTTTAACGTGGGTGTTGTTCTCTGGTACGCGATTTTTTAAATTGTATATTAGCTTTGATTGATACGTTTTTTCGAACCTACGTGAATGAAGTTTTAATACTAAATTTGACAGCAACCACTTGACTTTTATCAGTTCTATAGATTTTGTATAAGAAAAGTTAATTTAGCAGCCTTGCTGTGCCCTGGCCTGAGGGCCGGACAGGACGAAAAAAAATTCTATGATTCATCTTCAGGGAAGGACAGGGCAGAGTATAAAAAAGTGCCCTATGACAGTCTCTGACATATAGAGTTCGGCGGTTCCAAAAATTACCCGGAACCGCGGTTCAGGTCCGTTTCCGGGTAGTAAAAATGAGAAAAAAGGGAGTCCTGTTCGGTTCTCGAAAAGTTACCTGGAACCGGTTGGAACCGTTAAATTAACAAAAGTATACGAAAAATTTTTGAACAATTTGAGTTTTTTCATTGCTGACATTATAAAAACTAAATATTTATTGAAAAACTATTTTTTTCAAGACATACAAGAAAAAGTAAAACAATAAGGAAACTTTAAACAAAATAACATGTTTAACATGTACTTATGCAAGTACTAGAGTTCAGCGGTTCTGAAATTTACCCAGAAGCGTGGTTCCGGTTCGGTTTCGGTTTCATTTTTTTGGAACCGCTGAACTCTACTGACATATGTACATATTATTCAAATGATAAAATTAGTACCAAAATTATTTAGAATGCTTCGAAATAGAATTATCTACTTCGATGTTACCGTATCGGTCGAATTTTTACATTATTATTTCAGTAATGTAATCATTTGTATATTTTAATGTCAAATGAGGTATGTTACTTATCATTTTTATCTGTAGAGTACAAGAATGAAAATAAAATAGATAAATGTTAGTAAAAATAATTCTTTTGTTCATGGAGTTGTAAACATATATTTGTAAGTTAAGAAGTACTAGTGTGCCATAGTACTTCTCAACTTATTATTTTTTTTCTCTTGACGCTGAGTAAATATCTAGTGATAGTTTTCTATGGCAAGTTTTAATTTCTAATTATATTACTGGGTAGGAAGAAGAGAGTTAGGTACTATCTTATATCACAGCGTTTCAGATGACTTCGTAACCTCGACCCAGGAGGGTTCCTTGTGCCTGTTATGGTGAAAGCAGAGTATTACTTGGGAAGGCCATTATATTCGTAGATCCCTGTTGTCGTTATTGTACGTCATACTTATGTTCATTGTCCTACCAGTCCGGTGTGATCCACTCTGCGTGTACCTATTTCAGACTTAGAGGGGGTCTTTCTAGTCGCGCGCATAGGCGATAATGAGCCGAGAACAACCGGAACGAGAAGTGAATAGGAATGCGAACCAGTTTATTCAGCAAGCAACAAAAAAAAAAAATTTACATTTTCTTTTTTACATTCTGAAGGCGCTGTTTATACAGTTGAAGGTGCGAATGATTTAAAGGTAGTAAAAGTTGTGCAATTTCAATAGCACGTTCATAAAATTGTCTTGCCTTCGAGTATTGTCTCATGTTTTCGTACGTGAGGCCGATAGCATGTTTTGAAATAGCCAAATGGGGATGATTCGGTGGCAGAGCTTTTTCGCAGATTTTATGTGATTTTTCATAAAATTCAAGTGCTTTCCAGTAGTCAGCCATGTTGTTATACACCAAATCGATGTTGTTGTAGGTAGGAGCCAAGGAAGGATGATCTTCGGATAGAGTTTTTCGGTAGATTTTCAGTGATGTTTTGTAAAATGATACTGATTCTTTGTATTGTCCTTGGTGATATTTCATCACTCTAAGCTCATTGTAAATATATGCTTTATGACTGTCGTCAGATGTCTGTTCTAGTAGTACGTTATATAATTGTTCGGTCTTGTCGAATTGGTCTATTTTGAGCACCAATTGATCCATTCGATACCATCCGGTGCCGCCGACCTCTTTTCGTAAATAGTTGGTTAGTTGTAGTAGTTGTTAGCCGTCATCTGAAGTAAGTTTAAGGTCGACTTCATAAAAAGGATTTTTTTATCAATTTTTCGAACTTCGCCAATTCGAAAAACTGCGTGCATTAAGAAAAGAATTTCATCTTCTTGCGCGAACTCACTTCCATCTCGGATGGAAGAAAAGGAAGTTGATGAGAGCGTAGCATCGATCATCATTAAAAAAAGAACACTGACCAGATCGATTGTTTCCAGGGCATCTTTGGCGAATCTGAGCAAAATATTTCTATCTCTACTCGTGGATAAAAAATTATTAGAAGAAATAAGTCCATCCTTGTTTTTGGCGAGTTTTTCTAAATCTGCTTTCGGTAGTTCTTGACCTCGAAAGACTGTAAAAACTTTCCCATGGTATTGACTGACCTGATTCCTGTACAATGTTTCGATTTGTCGATGTATATCACAGAGGAAGAAACCTATCCGAATGATAA